CCCAACCTGCCCACTCGGACACAAGAGCACCACGCGGACACTCAGAAACGTCCAAGTATGTCCGATGGAAAGGATTGTCATCGAATTCTTGTCATGTCTCATCTCTATACGCACAGATAAAGCTTCTTCGAACTCATGAAGCGAACAAGTATTCGGCTCTTCAAGGAACTATTGATCTACGCCGATCCAGCGGCAACTGACGAGGAGGACAAGCAGTATCGCGACGCCCTCGTCAACCACGGTGTTTTCGTGTCGTCGCTAGCCTCGGGGCAGGAGTGTGAGATCGACATGGCCCACCTGTTGAAGACGGCTTACACTCGTGTATGCCGCGGTTTCAGGACAAGAAAACGGGAGACACAGATTGACACAGAAGGCATCGTTCGTGTCTGTGTGCCACATCTGTGATGTGTGGTTGCGGTGTGCTGAGCTGAAGATGAAGAGCTTTCCACCGCTGTCTACATTTTATATCTGTTGTCATATCTGTTCTTGCTTTGTTCGAACGTGGAGGGAGGGATGGATGGCTGGATGGATGGATGTGTATAAGCGTGAGACACGGGTTGACCATTCTATGCGTCTGTTGTCAACTAGTGAACGTCCAAATCGCGACACATTGCCTACATTGCCATGTGTTTGGCCCATTTGCCTGTCGAGGTGTCCTAGCTCTCAATACGGGAAGAACCCCTTCTCTCAAATATCGTTGAGAAGAGAGGAGCATCCCGGCAAAGCGGTGCAGAACATCACACGACACAGCAAATAAGCACGTGCACAACAGAAACGGGCAGACATCGGCTCTCATTGCCATCTTTTCGCGCGCCAACACACCAGGCCTGCTATCGGCGTTCAGGTTTGTTCTGCCCTCTCCGCCGACCAACAGAAGGCGACCTGATCTGTCTGCCGCCTTCTGAGCGTCGGTAGAAGAGCGACTACAAACCACAACCCGAACAGCAGAGGCCCCATTCACAGACTCAGACTCACCCGCCCTCACCCACCCTCCTCCCCCTCACTATCTGACTCGAAAATCGCCTTGAAAAGGCTAATTGGCGGCCGCGGCAACTCTGGCTCCATCTCCTTCTCCTCCACACACTCATCCATCGCAGTTGCAGCTGCAGCAGCCGCACCGTTCTGCTGCGCAATCGGCTGCGGCGGAACCAGCCCAGGAGCAGGGCCAAAGCCACCCACATCCATCGTCATCTGCCCACCCATAGGCCCGACAGCCGATGCCGCCTGCACGCCCCGCTGCACAATGTCGAGAAATGACGGCAGGCCTCCCCCTGCCGCCCCCTCGCTCTCGCGTGAGTCATCGAAGAAGGGCTGCTTCGCCCACGGGTCGGGGACACCGAATCGACGGCATAGCAGCCGCTCGGGCTTCCAGTTGCATGACGTGCGCACTGGCTTGCCGGGGTCGCTAGGCGGCGCATTGGGCAGCCCGACGCCGCCCCCGGCATTGCCCTCTTCCTTTTCGGCCTGCTCGATGGCTGCTGGCGTGCTGGGGGCCTCGGGGTGGCTCTGGCGGAACAGCTTGTAGACGCGACCGAACTCCTCTCGCTCGCGGGCTGCGGCCGCCTTGCCCATCTTCTCGTCGTCGGCGTAGGCCTGCGATGGCTGCACGCGGCCCTCCAGAGCGTCGCAGAATCGCTCGTACCGCTTTTGCTTCTCGGCGTCTTTCTCGAAGGGCTGGTTGTGGAGGGCCTTCCTCTCGCCGCCCATGTCTTGCGTGCCGCCACGGACGAAAGAGCGGCCGGGGAAGAGGCTACCGAGAATGTTCTGCTTCATCTCAGCCGACATGCTAGCCCACATCGCCCCTCCCTTTCGCCCCCCTCCAGCAGCAGCAGCCGCAGCCGCTCCCTCTGTCTTGCTGCCGTCATGCCGGTCGCTGTCACGGTCAGGGAGGGGCGTCTCGCCGAGCATCTCCCCTCTCTTGGACGGGTCAAGCGGCCCCTTCTTCTCATCTGCGGCCTTCTTGCTCTCCTCCTTGAGCGGCCTGACGCTCTTGAAGTGCTCCAGCAGCTGCCGAAACTCCTCGCTGTCCGCCTCTTCCAGCTCTTCACGCGTCGGCACGTGCCGGCCCTTGAAATGGGAGGGCACTGGTGGCGGTGGCTCGGGGGTCGGCAGGACAAGGGGCGAGTCGCCGAGCACAAAGCCTGGTAGGGCGGGCCGCCCGTCCGTCTGGCACCGCCGCTCACCAGTCTTGCGCAAGCCCAACACTTGAGGTCGCTCTCGGTCCGTGAGGGCGTGGGGGGCTGCTGGCCCTTCGAGCGCACGAGGGCCGCGGGATGGCCGTGCATCGTCCTCGGTGTCGCCTGGAGCTGGGAGCGACTTGTGGAAGATCTTCTTGTCCTCCAGCTGGTAGATGTCCTCCCACTCCTCGGCCTCCTCGAAGGCGCCGATGCCGAAGGCCTCGCCGCGTACCACCCTCCTCCTGCCGCCCTCACCGCCTGCCTCGCTGCTGCTGCCGGCAGCTGCTGTCACGCTTGGTGGCGCCAGGAGGTCACGGAGGGACTCACCGACGTACCCGATGCCCTTGAAGTCCGTCTTGGGTTTGAGCAGCAGCTGGAGGTCCCTCTCGAGCTCCATGCGGCGCTCCTCGGCCTCACGCAGCCGCTCCTCCTCGGGGTCAAGCTCACCAGTGAGGGCGGCGCGCTCGCGGTCGCGTTGGAGGGCGAGAGAGGGGGGAAGGGCACAGCCCATCACACGCTTGGCCTTCTTGGGCTCGGGTTGCTCGGTGTCTTCTCGCTTTACATCTTGAGGTGGAGCAGCGGCTCCGCTCCTGTCGGTCGTCACGTCTTGGTCGTGCTTGGGGGGCTGTGGTTGCTCCTTCATCTTGTCCAGGGCCTCTTGGATGTGTTTGGGCGCCTTCTTGGCTTTGGCAATGCCGACTGGCCGACCCTCTCGCCAACCCATCGCCTTGAGCAGACGGAAACCTGACAAAAAATACAACACAGACGCGATGTCGCTGTTGCTTCTACGCTTCTCCTTCCATCAGGCTGTCTGTCCGGCTCACCCACCGATGGATGCGTCAGTAGGAGTGACCATCATCTGCGCCACATGGCTTGACAGCCCGAGATCCCTCACGCCGGTCCCCTCCTCCTCCCCCTCGCCGCCCTCGCCCATGTCAGCATCGGCATCCGCATCCTCTGCAGCTTTGGGTGGGGGCGGGCGGCGCTGAGGTGCGAACTCAGAGGTGGTCTTGATGGTGCGGCCGGCGAGAGTAGCGCTCTGCAACGGAAAGACCGAGCGGGTCAACGAGGGTTTGTGTTGCCTGTGTACTGCGTGTGAGTGTACCTGCAGATCCTCTTCGTCCATGAAGTCCTCAACGCGCTGCTCTCTGCGGTCGGCTGACAGGCAAGGAGACCAAGGAAAGAGACGTAGTGACACGGGTCCCCCATGCATACACACAGGTCAGTGTCAATGCTCACCTCGCTTGTCGCGTGACGATCTGAATTCGCTGGGAGCCCAGCCTGAGAAGCGGCAGCCGAATCCATGTGTCAAGAACGTCGCCGTGTCTGAATCTGTTGTGGTGTTCAATGGTTACCTTCTGCCGTGCCCACGGTGTTGAAGTAGCCGGCAGAGAAGCCTCCGGTGAATGCGCCATGAAACCTGACACAACGTGGCACGTACACCTAACTATGTGATCGTGTGCTGCCTGTCTCCCTCCCTCCCTCGCCCACTCACCTCCTACGACCCTTCTCGTCGGTGACAATCTGCTCCCATGGTTTGACGCCGCGCAGCCGCTTGGCCCGCTCCTCCTCGTCCAGCTCATCTATATCTTTCTTGGACTGCAGCAATGGCCAACCAGAAGCCATGGATCATTTGTCGCGTGCTGCTGCGAGTCAGGTTCTGCTTACGAGTGGCGTGCCGAGGAAGGTTGCGACTTTCTTGTCGTCTGCTTCCAGGTCGATGGCGTCGTCCATCGCCCTCCCGCGGCCCTTCCGCTTCTCCATCCTATGCAGGGAACAACACATGCATCAACTGCGGCGTGCCTGACAAGGCTGCTGTCACCTGATCTGTGTCGGATCTAGGTGCTCAGATGTTCACACGCCTCTTGCGTCCTCATCTTTCTCCTCTCTTCTCCTCGTCCCCATTTGCGAGCTTATGTGCGAGCTTAGAAAGGCATCAGGGGGGCAGCTCTTCTTGTGTGCGTGTGCCCCGTTGCGCAGGGGGCTCAGCAGAGCAGGATCTGACAGCCCGGCTGGGCATCACTCCACAATGCCGACACTCAAACCCATGCAGGTGAACGACTGGCAAGGGCGGAAGGGCTGCTCACATCGGTGCGGAAGGTGACGTGAATATGCATGTGTATTGGCATCTTTCAGCGTCGGCTGCGTCACGTGCAGGAGATAGCGATTCGCAACCTGGATCCAGAGTACATGCGGGGCTTCACCATGGAGCTCAACACTCCCGATGAGATCGGGCAAATCGCTGTCAGCAAACCATTCTTCAACACAATGGTACGCCGCCAACGGGACTCGTCATTGTGCAGTGCTACTCTTGTGTTTGGGGGGGATGGTTGCAGAACCCAGGATGGGATCTCGAGAATCAGCTCGACTCGTTCTACCGCAACCTGAGAGGTAGGTACGGCTAAATGCGCGAGCCTCATACAGGCTGAGGGTGTCCCTTGCCTGCTGGTTGGGTGGTGTCCGTGCAGAGGTGGAGGTGTGCGTTTCTCGACTCGAGGCCACGGTGACGGTGGAAGGGGATGCTGCCAAGGAGGACAGCACCACTCCGCCACGGCGCCTCAAGCTGCTCTTCAGCCTCATGGAGCTGCACCCCATCGGACATGACGTACGCAAGACCATCCACCCTTGCTACACTCGTGATTCATTTCCCATTGTCTGTCAGCTGTCGCGCCTTCCTCCGGTGCCCCCCACGACCATCCTGGTCAAGATGTGCGACCTGTGGCACACATTCAGGGGCACCTTGCCGCCCCAGCCACACCCACAGACGCCACCCCCACCCCCTGTGCAGCCCTTCCCCGCCTCGCCCGACAGCAGCCCCACCGGCCTGGCCAGCCTCGGTCTCACCAACGTGTCGTTTGCAGCAGCCACTGCTGCTGCCGGCAGGGCACAGGGCAACAGCGGGGACATTGTCGGCATCAAGGAGGTGAGGCGAGACGAGATGGAATGATGCGAGTTTGCTCTCGTCTGTCTGTCGTTGTGTGTTCAGGCATCGCCTCGCGAGGTTGTCAATTCGAATGCGGCCCCGAAGGGCAGCAAGACGGTACGCAGCTGGGAAGCATGGACAGGGGATGCGTGGATGGATGCCTTGACAGGGGGTGTCTGTGCTGTTTGCCTCTTTGCCTGCGTGCATGTGTCAGATCACGACGTCCCAGATCTGTGCGCACGGCGAGCGGCTTGGCAAGGAGATCACGAGGCGGCGGGTGGCCATCAATGACACACAGCACCTCCTCACCCAAATCAACGGTACATGCGATGCAATGCACACACACGCAAACGATGATTGATTTGCCTCGTGGCGTCATGTGTGTATACGCCATTCAGCCCATCTGTCGCCCAAGCCCGACGAGGCCGTGTCAGACACCACCTCCCCATCGGTAAGATACATGCAGCCAGCCTCAATGGCGACCATTGGGCATAGAAACGAGACTCTCCTCTTGTGTGTGATTGTGTACACATTCAGATGTCCTCATTGCAGCAGCGCCTCAAGGCGGTTCAGGCGAGGCTCCAGAAGACGAGGGTCCTCCTGCAGGCAAAGAGAGACGAGCTGCAAAAGGGTACCTAAAAGATGACGACGAGAAATGGATGGATGGATGGATGGATGACCCTTGATACACGCGCCGTCTTCCCTCTGTCTTGTGTGTCGTACATGCTTTCAGGCGAGTCTCGTTTGGCCGAAGAGAAGGCGCAGCGGCAGAAGAGACGGGAAAGGTATGACTGACGTGCATGCAGCAGGACTCTCCGCAACAACGTGCACAATGTGCCTGTGGTGCGGTGTGGTGTGCTTGTGCGTATGCAGGTTGCGTCGGTGTCAGCGTGGGCTGCAGTCCGTGAAGCTCCGGCTGGGACAGGTAGATACAAGACACACGACAGACAGGGGATATGATGGCCACACCACTCACCGGGCAACGCTGCTGTTGGTGTGTATCAGTCTGTCAAGGACCTGCCGTCGTCCAAAACAGACCTGAGGGCCATACAGCAAGGTGAGTGGCCAGAGAAGCCACGTCTGGATATGCCGTCATGTTGTCCCCTCCACCTCACTCAGCGTTGTACTGTCGGCGCACCCGCATGCTGTACGAGTTGTTCCAAGTCTACCCAATAGAAAACAACGGTAGGTGGGTACCACACGAGCGATCAACACCCACCCGGCCATCCGCCTGGCGCATGTCCGCTCCCTCTCTCCCCGTAGGCCGCCACCGGTCCATTCGTGGCATCCCCCTGCCATCCATCGACGTGCTCAACAGACAAGGTAAGCACGCAACACACAGACGATGTCGATTGTCTGTATTGTCCTCAAAGATGGATGGCCTCTGTCTGTCGTTCAGATTTGCGCGAGGAGGAGAAGGTCGCCACGGCGCTCGGATTTCTCATCCACCTGTTGCTTCTCATGGCCAAATACGTCGAGGCAAGTGCATGAAGCGAGACACACCGTGCAGGGAGGGAGTGTATCGGTGCATTGCTGCGCGCGTCTCCCTCTCTTTCATTGTTCAGGTGCCTTTGCGGATGGTGATGGTGTGTGCGTCGTCCCGGTCGTTTCTGCGTGACCCCTTGTCTGACCCCCCTGGCCTCGAATACCCGCTCTTCTATCGGGGCCTCGACAGAGCTCGATTCCCGTCGGTACGGGAGGGAGGAGGGAGGAAGCTGGGGAAAGCCGCACCGCAGTACCCCAATCCGTGCCTTGAGCTGTCTTTTTGCGTTCAGGCTCTCCGCTTCCTGATGGAGAACCTGCAACAGGTGTGTGTGTCGCGTCATTGTAGCATTGCTGGCTGTATTGTGTGCGTGTGTGTGTCAGTTTCTGCTGAGCCGGGCGCACAAGATCGCCAGCCGCAACAACCTTCTCGAAAACACGGTAGGTAGGTGAATGGGTGGGCGGGAGAGGCGACACATGCGATTGGTGGAACTTGTGTGGTGCTGTTGCGTATCGATTTGCGGATGGGTGTGAGCAGGAGTGTTTGATCCACCGGGAGATGTGGGGGCTGAACGTCAATCCCTGACTGACTGAGCCCTTGCGTTGCGTGAGAGATGCGCTTAGCGTCATGGCCATGACCGGAACTGACTCTCCGTGATGCGTTCCTCGTAGCTGTGTTCTTTCATGTGAGGCATCGGGGTATAGAGATCAACTTGAAACGCCAGTTATCATCCATCCATCTGGCCTTGTGCAAGTTGTCGATGCCTGGCTCTTCACACCCGTCGGACCTGACTAGAAAGGCAGCAGACGGGAGGACGAGACGGGATGAATGAGACTTACCTCTGCTGTGTGGTTGACAGGCACAGATGAGCCAACCGTCAAGCTAGGTGCAGAACCGATCGACCGACTAGTCAGAGGCACTCGCGTGTCCGTCACTCACTAAAGTGCAAGAATGTCTCGCGTCCAAGCAAACAGCCAAGCCGTCTACACACGATCTCCGCTATGTTGTGTGCTTAGCAAACACCCTTTCAAGCCGTTCATCCTGTCCGGCAAACTCACCCCCAGTCACCCGCTCTTGACGGTGAGAGTGCCTCGATGATGACTGTTGTAGGCGCCCACGAGCCACGCTACTGGTTACAAGATGATGGAGGATGTTGACGCCTGTTTTGAATGCTCCAGTCCAGCCTCTTCAGCCCGACTGAATTGAGCTTGAGTGAGTTGGCTCCGTCGATGTGAGTGACCGTCTGGCCAGTTATTGTCCGTCCTGTGCCCTTCAGCAATCCTTCCCATCCTGGGCTCGGAATTCTCACCGAGCGGAGAGGGTGAGAATTCGCGATGGTGGAGACAAGACGGAAAAAAAAAATCCGATGGGCGCCCTCGAGTCGTCGCAAGGCGAGCCCTCCTCCTCAGCCAACGGGCGGACATCCACACGCATGAACACATGTAATGCCAGTACGTCGACATTGGAGCTGGCCCTGACAGCGAAGCGGCAAGACATCAGAATGCGACACGTCCTCAAAAGGTGAGTCATGTCACCTTCACACACATTCATGCACCCAAAGGGAGGCCCGTGCATTCGTTCATGTGCGCCCTCTCGCCTCGTTCTTTCTGGTGCAGCACCGCGCTGCCGCCATTGCTGACCGCAAGTTCGTCAGCCGCAACATCGAGTGTGCTGTCAAGATACTGAAAGAGTGAGAGAGAGGAGCTCTCACACACATGCACACATGCACACACCTCTGTCATCAGGGCTGCCCGTCACAGTCAGCTGGGAGTGGCAGAGCGCGTATTAGAGGACCTGGAGGCGTCCCACATCCCAATCGCCCCCCAGGCATACCCCCTCGCTGTCACCACCGCCGTCAAGTAAGCCACACAGACACCAAACAAGACGTTCACACACAAATGCCTATGTTTGTGTGGTGTGACTCAGGGATACATGGCTCCGCTGCCATCGTACGGGGGTCCCAATGCCGCAGCCAAGGTAGCGAAGAAGAGAGGGCAATCACCAGCGGGCCCCATGATCGTGGTCGAAGCGCTAAGAATGGGGAGAGGGAGGGCGCACAGGGTGCTGAGACCAACATCGCGGTCAACTACAATGTGACAGCACCCGTGGGCAAGGAGAGGACGCCTGAGGCGACTGGCAGCACGGCGCACGGGGGGCAAATCAAGAACATCCGTGACTCGTTGAGGCTGCTGAAGTCGAAGCGCCCCAACGCCTTCCGGCAGCACTCACCACACACGTCCACTCAAAGCCAAGGTCGGCGCCCAACACGAAGACAGCACGTATTCCAAAAGCCACGCACCAACCTGTTGTTCTGCGTGTCTGGTGCCCGTCTCACCCCTCCCTCCTTCCTCAGCTGGATGAGCTGCTCGACCGCCCCCCACCGCCCGCGCCACCCCCATCACCTCGCACATGGAACTGCTGCACTGCCTGAGCCTGCTGGACGACAGCGGCCGGCAGACGCTGCAGCATCTCATCTCACGTGGCGCTGAAGGGCCCCAATCCGAGGCCGACATTGCAACGGCCATCCCGAATGCGCCGCTGCTCGGCCATGACGATGTGTCCCCTTCGGCGATCGACACCTCACCATTCCCACCACACCCATCGTCGGCCAGCCGTCCCTCGCCTCTGACAATGCGACTCGGCAGCATGCCCTCAGACACATGCCCTCAGCCACAGAGCCTCAGTGACGAGGAGGAGGCCGCCGGAGAGGGGGAAGACGAGACAGCAGACGAGATCGAAGAGGTGGGGACGGAGGGAGAGTCACCATCAGCTCCTGCCATTGCCAGCCCACCGACCGCATCAACGACACTCACGCTGCAGTTGGCCGCCTATTCGAGGGGCAAGACGGCGGACCCCATGGCGTGCGAAGACGCCTTCTCCCTCAACCCCAAGACACGAGCTCTTGGGGTCGCCGACGGGGTGGGCGACATCAAAAACAACCACCCCTTTTCCTCGCGAGAGCTCGCCACCAGCCTAATGGGGTGCTGCAACAACGCATCCTACGCCCACAACAGCAGCAGCAGCCCCCTCCGCCACCAGAATCGGGCGGGGAGGATGATCACGGCGGCATGGGAGGCGGCGGTGAAGGATGGTCCGATGGGGGCCACGACTGCCACAGTTGTCGGCCTGATCGAGCGGGGGGACGGGTCAGTTGGTGCCCACCTGGCCACGTTGGGCGACTCTGTCGCAGCCGTCATCCGTCCCCACGCCGGCCAGGGCCCCACAATCACAGGAGAGCGGCTGTCCGCAGCGGCAGACCCCAGGCGCCCCAACCCGTCGCTCCAGCGCGTCGCCGTCGTGTCCGTTCATTGACGGGCAGAGAGGGCTTCCTGAGGCCCACCGTCAGCTCAAGAGTGAAGGAATTCCCCCGCCGCTGAGAGGTCTTGAATGTGGTTTATGGTGACGGCTTTGATTTAGCGAGGCTGGACGATTAATGGGATTTGGGAGGTAGCGGAGCTGACGCCCATGCAAGTCCCGGACCAGCCCAACTGCCCCTTTCAGCTGTCCAAGCTGTCTCAGGCGGCAAATCGGTGTCTACATTTTATATTTGACGAAACATTATTTGAAGAACTGCATCGTCTGACTGCAGGCGGCTTGAGAGGTAAACACGTGGCCAGCGAGCGACGTCTGCGGCGTCACTATGACAAACAAACAAACAAACAAACAAAGAAGCAGGGAAAGCAATGGAGTGAGTGTCTCTCTCGAGCTCGTGCATGGTCTCGGCGCCATCGGACGCACTGGCCTGCCTGACGCCTCGTGATGGGGAAGAGGGGGCAGGCAGATCAGGGAAGAGGGTGGGGAAGAGACATCACTCACAGAGAGCGGAGGGCTGCTGAGCGGAGAAAGAACAGAAACAGAAAAGTACTGATCGATTGATCGACGGATCGAATTGAATTGTATGATTCAAACGTTTCATTCATTCATTGACGTCTACGTCCACAATGTCTAATGCAGCCGTGGTGATCGATCGATCGCAGGCAGCTAGGCAGGCGGACAAACAGAGTGAGTCACGAGTTCGAGAGCTAGGCGCATCCACACTGTCCGTCCGGCAAACATCCATCCATCCATCCATTTACCCATCCGCCGCATCACAAACACACACACACCCATTAACGGCACATCCACGAGGCAAGAGGCAAGCAGCAAGCAGCACATGATGAAGTCAGTCAACCAAAACGGGTGAGGTGGGGTTGGACAAGTGTTGGTTTGTTGTTGCACGGCTGTCTCTTCCGGCCGTGCAGATCGGCCAGTCAGGTCATTCAGAAGTGCATAACTCGCAGAAACGAAGAAAGCGGCAACGAGCAGCCAAAACATCGAGGAATGGAGCCACACACCTTTGCACTGAATTCTATCATCTCTCACTATTACGGATGAACCATAGAATCCTCGTACACACAGTACACCGTCCATGTACGCGTACAAGCTACTGTACCAAGATGTATGCAAGCCGCTCCTCACAGCACTTGAAAGTCACGGCGATGAGAAAGGTGGGGAACTACACACCTGACCTGACACAACCACCCATCTGTCTCATGGCCCGTCTCTTAACAAAACCCACACAACATGGACGCACCGTCCCTCCCACTGCAGCGCGCTGATTGCGCGCTCCCGTGCCCGTGCAGTCAGTCACTGAGAAACCGTGTCATCAGGCAGACCACCAGAGCAAAAAAAAATTGCAACCAACATTCCCACAGCACAAAAATAGCAGCCAACCATCCCACCCAGATCCACCAGATCCGCACATGACCGACCAATACCGAGATACACAACAGCGGCACAGCGGCACAACATATGGCCTCGAGGCCCACGATTCCGTTCGCCTTGTCAAGCTCGTGTTTCTGCTCGCCGGAGGCCGCATAGCTCTCCAGACACCTGGCAGCCAGCGCGAGCAGCAGCATGCCATAGCCCCCAAGAAAGAGGTATGCGCCGGCAAGAGGGGCATCAATGCAGGAGGCGAAGAAGAGCCCAGCACTTGTCCCAATCAAGAAGAGCGTGTGCCCAGCCACGTGGTACGCAGCCTTGCTGTGGGGGAACTGGGCACCGCATGACGCCGCCACGACGGCCATCCTCCTGGAGTAGGGCCGCCAGCACGCCGCCAAAAGACCCAATGCCACGACAGCCACAGCCACACACCCTACAGCAGACGGGCGGACCACTGCAAACAGCACCGGGAGGAAGTACCACAGCTGATGGGTCAAGATGAGCACGTAGAAGTCAATGCTGTCGAACTGAAGGCAGCAAACCACGGAAAGAGCACAACAGAAGGTGAGAGTGGGTGCGCCATATATATTTTCGTCTTACCCTTCTGATCGGATTCCTCGGCAGAGAAGCGCGAACGTGACGAGAGGACACATCGGCCGTGAAGAGAGGCGTCACTAAGTAGGTGAATCCCTGGTCGGTGATCACCAAGGGAGCAGCGCCGTCAGGCGCTTCCTCGTCGAGCGGCGGGGCGGTCGGAGTGTGCGGCGGGACCGCTGCCATCTCCACGTGGGAAGGGGTGCCTGAGAATGAAAACCCTGAACCCCAAACCCAAACCCTCTCAAAGGGCGGCAGTTCGCGTGGTATTTCGAAGTTCTCAGATGAAGTCATGTAGCGTGCCTGATAAAGGGTCATGCAAACCTAAGCATCGTAGCATCACAAATACACACACCAGCAGACGGCCACACACGCATACACAGATCCATAAAGCGACCGCCCACGAGTAACACACACTTAAACCTGCACACGTAATGCGTGGATCCACAGGCAGCTAAACTTCCCCCCCGCCCCTTGTCTTCATGGAGGCTACACAAATACAGACAGACATAGAGACATAGGCAGACGCGGGTAGCGACTGGATCTTTGGCTCACACGTCGCGCTAAGCAACTCGGAGACACTCGGCCGCCATCCCTCCACCCATCTCTCTCTCTCTCCCTCTCTCTCTCTCCCACACTGAAGGCACACAGACTGACTTCCCCAGCCCACCCCCGCGCACACACCACTTCCCTCTCAGAGGCCCTCGACTGTCTGTTTGTCTGTCACTTGAGAAGGTTGTTGGCTACCCACTGCAGGGCCTCCTCCACCGACCCGCCGAACTCCACCGTGCCGTTGCAGTGCTCACACACGTAATGGGGCTCGTCCAGCAGCTTCACCATCGGCAGCTGCTTGTCCCTCTTTCGGCTCTTGTTCTGCCTTATGCGGTCCTCATTCTCCTGTTTGCGTCTGTCGTTCTCGGCCCTCACCCTGGTGAGTTCGCGCGCCACCCTGGCCTTGTTGTCGTCGTAGCACTTCGGGCACACCCGAAGGTGTCGGCAGGGCATGTACACCACCGACGCAGGCGCGTCCATGCACACGCTGCACTCGCCACCCCGGTGCTGGTGCTGCTGGCGCTGGTGCTGGTGCTGTGTGGGTGGGAGTGTGGGTAGCGGTGGGGGACGGGCTGACGAGCTGCTGGACGAGGTATGCTGCTGCTGCTGGTGGTGGCCCGCACTTAGGGCAGCCAACCTGACAGCACACCAATCAAGAGACTAAGTAGACACATGACGTCTCATCCACCTTGTCCGAGCATGAGCCTACCTTTGTCGCATTTCGTCCATTTCGTGTTCCTGTCGCTGCCGCATTGCCTCCATCTCCCGCTGCTGACGCTTCACTTGCAGCTGAAGGTCACGGAACGAGCTCGACCCACTGACGGAAATCAATCACGTGACAGAGCGGACGGTTCTTCACGTGTCCTCCTTCGTTGGTCCCTCTCCCTCTCCTCACCTGTCGGCCTGATAGGCGCCCCCACTGCTGATGTCGCTGTCGCCGGCTGGGTGTGTCTGCATCTGTGGTGGTGCTGCCGTGTCGTTCTCGTCGGACTCGAACATTAGAAACATCGGGGGCGGGAGGGGCGAGCCGACGTCACCATCAGCTGCAGCGGAGAACGCCCCTGCAGCCGACAAGTCACTGCCATAGATTGGACCGGCCGCCGACGACAATGCAGCAGCAGCTGCAGGAGAGGCTGTCTGAGGGCAATTGTCGTCGTGTGTGTGGCGAGGTGGGGGCGGGAGTGGGGGGTACGGTGGCCGGGGCGGCAGGGGGATCATGTGATGGTGATTGTCGTGGAGGCCGTCATGGGTGGGAAGCCAAGGGGGGAACGGCTTGGGAGTGGGGCGGGACGGCAGAGTGTCGAACGACGGCACACGACTGATATCAATCAAAGGCAGACACACGGCGAGGAAGATGAGTGTGCGCAGCTCTGTTGTCCTGCTGCCCTTCTCACCTGTGCTGTCTGGTCGATGTGGCCGTCGTCATTATGTCAGACAGCGACGCGCTGGCCGGCGACGCACTGGCCCCTCCCTCATGGCCATCACCGCCACCGAATGGATATGAAACGAGCACACCCTTCGACCCGAACACAGACCTGACAGAGTGAGAAGCATAATGACGGTGTGGAATCTCAGGTGCTGTGTGTGCATGCCATGTCATGTCGTACGTGGCAGCATCATGTTTGTATGGCGGCGTGTTTGCCGCGAGTGGGGAGGGACGGCTGAAGGACGACGAAGGGCCACTGGGAGGGAAGAGCTGCTGCTGCGGCTGTTGGTTGGGCGTGGCCGATGGATTGGTCTTGCCGGTCTTCTTCTTCTTGTGTGTGACGGGGATGAAGTGGTCGTCAGCGATGACCTCACCGGACAGGACACTCGACGGCACACTCACGCTTGGCTGCCTGGATGAAGGACACGCAGACAGCGAAGGCAATCGAGGGCATTGCAACGCGTCGTATCACGTCGTGTGTGTCTTCCTCTGTGTACCCGTCGTTGGATGGCGCACTTGTGGGTGTCGACTTTGCCGGCTGCTCGTCTTCCGACCCCTTCTTCGCCAGCACGCTGCCCCCGTCATCAGACACATCAGAACTGGCCAGACAAGCCACATATCGCCACACGCCAAGCACTAAGTTTGGTCACTGTGCCGGCTGGCTGCGTGCCTCCCAGCCTACCCATCGTGGTCGACAGGTGTGAGTGACGACGGACCCGACGCACCGCCCGTGGCCCCGCCTCTGTTGCCCTTGCCCTTCTTCTTCTTGCTGCCGGCCTTCTTGTTCTTCTTAGCGGTGGTGGTGGTGGTGGCTGGGGTCGGGGCGGTCGAAGGGGTGTCGTCGAACTCGGCCTCGATAGCTTTCTCATAGCGCTCGGTCTCGGCTTTCTCGATGCGATGAAACAAGTCTAAAATCTGGAGAAAAGCAGAGTCACACCATCGGAGATCAGCACCAGTCAGTCAGGTAAGCATCTGTATGTTCCGTGTGTGTGTGACCTTCTTGGGCACGTTGCGTGGCTTGGCGCCTTTGCTGCCTCTGCGTCCCGCTGCAGCCATCATGGTCTTGACGGATTCCAGCTGCACACACACAGAGAAGCAGGTACCAGTGTGCATCAACGTTGATGCGGCCGAGAGATACACACCTGGAGTATTTGTGTTGCGATGCGGTTTTGCATCTCGCCTCTGCGCTCCATCACCTCGTCGCCGTATCTGTAGGTGACGCACCCACCCAACAGCCATCCCAATGGTGCTATGGTGATCAATCAATCACTGCTCATTCATCTACTGACTTGACGAGGGCCTCCAGAGTCTCACACACCATATCGGCCAGGTCTTCCCCTACCGCGGCAGCACCCTCGTCACGGCGGCCCTTCAGCAGCCCGAACAGCATCCGGCACATGGCAGTCGCCAAACCCTCGTCAGCAGCAACCTGGGAGGCAAACCAACGACAAGAGGACAGGTTCTCGCCTTAGCTGTCCGTCACACGAACGTGCAGTTGCGGCTGCTCACATTCACTGAGGCCCGCACGAGTACTGATGCGGTGCTGCGCATCAAATAGTCCGCCAGGAGGGGGCCGTGCGGTTCTCGCATGAGGCCGTCGTCGGTCATGAGGGACACCAATGCTGCTGGAAGACCCACGTCGACGAGCAGACCAAGACGGCCTGCGGTAAACGGACAGACAGAGGGACGGGCGAGCAGCTAAGTGCCATCGACCCCCTTCTTACCAACACAAGCAGCGAGCCCAGGAGTCATGATGACCAAAGTGATCTGCAGAGGCTGGTCGTAGCCCAATCTGCCGCCACGGCCGCTGCTGAGGGCGCCCAGCACAGCCTTGAGGAAGGTCGGCTGCGTGACCACCTTCAGGAAGGGGCGGCAGGCCTCGAGCACACTCTTTTGCACATCTGCACGTACGAAAGCACAACAAGGCGCAATTGTGCCTGCCGAATTTGTTGTCAGGTGGGTACCTACCTGGAGGCGCCGATCTGATCACCAGCATGACGTAGTGGCTGATGCATCCCAGCGTCATGCACGCAGCCCACTTGCGGGCGGCCGTCTCGCTGCTGGACAGCACCATGTCGGCGCGGCGACCCACGTGGGGGAAGCAGTGCCTCTGGATGGCACACAGCACCGCAGGGACGGACTCGCCAACCGGCTCTACATGACACACAGCCAGCCCAGTCCCCTTTCACAGACACACGGACGGAGGCACATGAGTGCGCGATGCGGCTCAAGACACGCACCTGTGTCGAGCACTTTCCGCATGTACGGCTCCACCGTGTCGAAGTGGCGTTGGAGCATGCCGGGCAGACCCACCGAGCAGGGATTCTTCCCCTTCTCCAGGAGCTCGTCCACCTCGTCGAACAAGCCCTGTTGGGAGTCGTAGAAGCCCGACAGTTGCAGCGACACCAGACCGGCAGCCGGCTCCTGGGCGCACACAAACTCATCCACGACCACCACCGCGGCGTTGCGCACCCTGTCTTCATCACTGCAAGCAAGGCAGAACGGAACAACCAGTGCGGGAACAAAGGCGCCTCGCTGCTGGCTATGGCGTGTGTCATCTCTGGCTGGACTGACCGACCTGCCGGCAACAACCCCTTCGATGAGGTCCAGGGCGTCGCGGTTGTGGGTCAGCAGGTGGGCGTGGAGGCCTGGCACGCTATGCCACTTCCCCAGCGCCTCCTGCGCCAGCCAGCAAATGGTGAAGAAGCTGATTGACCAGTTGATGTCGGGCTGGCCGCCGTGCGGTGGGTGTGGGAGGAGAGCCAGGACCGTGCTGAGGAATTGGTGCACCAGCCCCGCACTGGCCAGCTGGTCAAACAGCTCGTCCACGATGTTGTCGCAGGTGTGGGAGAAGACGATCAGGCCGAGGTCAACGGCTGCCTGCGTGAGTTTTGGTCGTGGAGTCGAAGGGTCGGTCAGGTAGGCGCAGATCTGGTGGATGAGGTCTCGTTGCTCCGCACGCGGCTTCTCACGTAATGCCATCCCCACTTGAACCACATGCTGATGCAGCCGGTCGCCTGAGGCGCACACACATACAAACACACACACACTCAAAGGGCCGCCAAATGATCTGAACCTCTGAGTAATGCGTACCCGAACCCTGAGTGCCTGTGTCGGCGTTGTCAGGCGACGCAAAAGGGAAAACGCCTTTCCTCTTCCTGCATGGCCACAGAGCTCAGACCGTTGCTTCCTGTTCCGCGTGACTTACACTCTCTCATTGACCACATCTCTCCCGTCGAGCTTCATCTGTTTCTCCACGTGCCACCGGGTCCTCTTCCCTGCTGCGGTGGCCTCCTCACTCAGCTCCTCAAACTGCTTCAGCATCTCACGTGAATGCATCGTCGCAGCAGACCGGGTGGAGATCTGTCGGATCTGTCACAGGGAAATTCTCGGCGCGCGCGAAAAAAGGTCGAGAATGGACACAAACCCGATAAACCCTTGAAAAAAGTAGCGCAAAGTAAAGCACAAAGTTACGCACCGTGTGCCGTTCCATCGTTCCCCTCGCCTCCCTCGTCTTCGCGCCGCCTCCCTCATCGCGGACACTGACAGATTCTTCCTCTCGTAGGACCCCTCGCCGGGCTGGCGACCTTGAGTCCTACGAGAGGCGGCACAGAGGCTCAAGGTAGGCTCATTCGGCTTATATATTCATCGCACAAGCCTCTACCTCATCTCCATTTATGTAGGTACATTCATGTCGCCGTCGAAGCAGCATAGTGCACATATCCATTATCAGTTTTGTCGCCATGGCCCCCCTCTCAACCGCTGGAGCAAGAGTGCCCCCTCTCTCTCTCTTCTTGCAGTGATCAATTCCACTTCTCTTTCGTCACTCTGCCCACAGGGCCAATCGGCGTGTTCGCTGGTAAGCTGAGTACAGACATGCATGATGGAATGCAGACTGTGGTGCACTTCTTCTCCGCCCTTTGCCGTCGTTTGTGCATCACGGTTCTTGGGACCTTCTTTCAGGGTCATGGAAGTCCCAACGGCTGCCGAAACCCGCCCCATGGGCCGAAAGTCGCGTCAGGTCGGCCCAAGTCTGACTGAGCTGACGTCACCGGCGCCACGAATGTGACCTGGCCTGTATGTGTTGTGCATAATTAGCTTGTGCTTGCAGGGCGCGCACGAGGCCACGGGACCCCAATCGACTGCCTGTCATCAGCAGGGCACTTTGAGGACCTCATGCACTGGCCGGACGTGAAATGCACCGAGTGAACCTGAATGGCAGGGACTCGCCCACCAGCACTGCCAGCACCATGACACACGCCGACGGGGGTCAAACTGGGGGTTTCGATTGGGGCCGAAAAAAAAAGGCCTCTGTCCTCCTTCTTGACGCCGTCAAAGTTCAACCCATTCGTCGCATGGAGACTTAGATCAGCCGTCCATTGGGGACATTGAGGACGAGGGGGTGGGGACGAGGACGATCAGCCGTCCACCGAGGACATCAGGATGTTCTACGACATGACGGAGCGACTGGGAGAGGGAGGGTACGTACAGCGCACATAGCACAGCAGGCGCACGAGAGAGAGGCGCGCGCGTCTGAAATCCGTCTGCACAGACACTGATTGAATTGAATGAGTTGTTGGATCGTTGGTGGATGTGATGTGATGTGATGTGATGTGTGCGTTGCAGGTATGGTCAGGTATTCGCTGCCTGTTTGCCGACGGACCGACCAGCAGCACGTCCACCGAGGACATTGAGGACGATTTGTGGGGGGACTTCGGTGGGGACGAGGACGGAGATCAGCCGTCCATTGGGGAGATTAGCATGTTGTACGACATGAGGGAGAGACTGGGAGAGGGAGGGTATGTACAACGCACATAGCACAGCAGGCGCACGAGACAGAGGCGCGGGGAAGGGAAGACACCGCCTCGCTGTGAATTTGTGGCTGTGAATTTGTGGCTGTGAATTTGTGGCTTGACTGCAGACCACCGAGCGTAAAGGCCAGAGAATCCCCAGTCAGTGGCAGTCACCAAATGATCGTTGCCTACATTTTATATCTGTTGAAAGTGCACAGAAATCTCTCCGCCACTGGATGGATGGATGGATGGAGCCAGGATGGTGTGCTCGGGTGTGAGGACGATGGCTGTTAGCGAACAAGAGTATGGTGGGATAGTGGTCTTCATTGCCTGGCTGCTCAATGACTCATGCCACTTGAAGAGATTGAAGAGATGTCCCATTACTCATGTATCCACGCTCGTTTGTCTCCCATTAAGCAGCCATCATGTACCGTCATACCAGCTCACGAAGACATGCATTCTCATTGACATGCAGTACACAACCCACTCCCCATGCACATACACAGCCCGGCACCACCCTTAGCCTGCCGCCTGCGACTCATTGAAACCAACTTGGCACCACCTGATCGACCAGAATGAGACACGACCGAGACAGATAAGCGAGCATCACCAAGTCAACCCTCAGACCCACCCACCTGTGCCAGTGATGCTGCTAGATGCATCCTGTGCAGTGCCTGCTATCCCCTGCCCCCGCCCGGCCCCAGGGGCACCTTTCCCCTCATCTAGCGATAGCGATGACGGAGGCCACGTGAACGAGTCCTGCTGCTGCTGCTGCTGCTGCCCGGCGGCCCCGGTCAGAAGTGCCGTCATGGTCTGTGGCCGTGAGTCTTCCCACGGGGCGAGGATACCCCCACTGCCGTTGCCTCTGATATGTGGGCCCAAGTGTGTGATGCCTGGCCATAGGGACGGGGGGGCGTGGGAGAGTGCGGCGGTGGCCACGTGCGATGAGCCGAAGAGAGCCGACCCGCTGCTGCCCACCGTCATGCTGCTGTGACCGAGCGTCGGGCTCAGCAACTCACAACCTGGATTGAAAAAGCAAAGGAGGAAAGAGACACGCAAAAGTGCGTCCCATTGGTGATTGATCAGCCAGTTCTTCACTTACATGCCACACTAAGGGCCTCTTGCTTGGGATCCGCCTGGGACTCGGCAGTACTGGCAGCACTGCCCGTCTGCGAGGTGCGACCCATCGGAACCAACTTGGCACCACCTGATCGACCAGAATGAGACACGATCGAGAGACATGAGCGAGCACCACCAAGCCAACCCTCAGACCCACCCACCTGTGCCAGTGCTGCTGCTAGATGCATCCTGTGCAGTGCCAGCCATTCCTTGCCCCCGTCCCTTCCCAATGGCACCCTGCCCCTTATCCATGAGCCATAGAGATGACGGGATCGACGAGAACAATTCTTGCTGCTGCCGCTGCTGCTGCCCAGTGGCTCCGGTCAGCAGTGCTGCACTTCTTTTCTGCGATGGAATGCCTGGCTGGGGCAGTGCCTGGGGCTGCTGCAGTGATGGGGGAGGGATTTGCGGTGTGCTGCTGGAATTGGTCACATCAGCCGGGCCGGTCGAGTGAGAGAGGGCCGGACTCATCAACTCTGCACACAACACGGCACGCATGGCACAGAACGACCTCTGATGTGTGTGGTGGGAAGGGCTTGATGTGGTGTCTTTCCTGACGTACCAGCAGTGCCGGCTCCCAAGTTGCTTTGTGCGCCGGTGAACGAGCGGCCGTCCGCCTCGTCCATGTCCATTGCCCGCCCGTCGTCACCGCCCTCATGTCCCATGCCGACCAGCCCCATGGACACCAGCCCCTCCCCACCCAAGTCAACACCATCCACAGTGTGCCGGATGGCCTGGTCCAGAAGGCTGATGGCGTTGGGTGAGATGAGGCCCTCGGCACTGTCGCTCCCGGATGTGTTGTGGCGTTGCTGCTGGTGAGTGGGGCTTGGCTGCGGGGTGGGTGAGCTGGCCTGGCTCTGATTGGACGGTCCCCCATCTCAACTGTCAAGGCCTGCATCGGACACCCACAGACACACACACGAAGTCACAACACATTCCAAATGATCTCCGCCCCCAAGTCTTTTGTGTGGGTGTGCGTATCTCATCTGCTTACTGGCTGCCGATGCGGGTGGACGGGGTGGCCGTCGTGGGGCAGCTCCAGCGATTGTGCTCGCGGCGTCAGCGGGGATGGCGATGCGTTCGGCGACACGTGGGCGAATGGGTTGTGCACGGGGGAGCTGCCGGGGGGCGTCATGGGTGGCATGGGCAACAGGGGTCCACCAGTGGGGTTGTGCATGTGCGATGGGCTGTTGGCGCTGCCCTGCTGCTGGACGGGGGCGGGGGGCGTCATGCCTGGGGGAGCCGTCAGGGGCGCCATGCCTGGGGGAGCCTGGGGGAGCCGTCAGGGGCGTCATACCTGGGGGAGCCGTCAGGGGCGCCATGCCTGGGGGAGCCGTCAAGGGCGTCATGCCTGGGGGAGCCGTCAGGGGCGTCATCCCTGGGGGTGCTGGCGTCATCATCCCTGGGGGTGCTGGCGTCATCCCTGGGGGTGCTGGCGTCATCCATGGGGGTGCCGTCATCGGGGGTGCTGTCAGCCCAGTCGACGAGGTTGGCATGGTGAGGGGGTAGGGACGGCACAAGAGGGACGGTCCAAACCAGGGATGATCCAACGCCTCTTGCGCTGACACAACACACACGTGACACAGGCACGTCTCCCACGGCACCTAGGTGGCAGAGCTCCTCTCTCTGTGCGATCTACCTGAGGATGGTCTGCCATTGGGGTGGTAGGTCAGGAGACGGCTTATGAGGTCGGTGGCAGCAGGGAAACGCTGCACTACGGCGTCCTCGAACTTGAGGAAACCCTGACACACGCGCGAGCATATGAATCCGTTGTGTGTGTGTAAAGCGTCTCGCGCTCATCCTTACCTGTCTGAGAACCCTTCGCACTTCCCGGCTGCTTTTGCACTCGGACAGGATGAATGGGAAATTACCAGTGATTAACACGTACCTGCACACACAGAGGGTGTGATGATGATTTGTGTGTGTTGATGGTTTGATGACATTGGTGTCTCTCTCTCTCTGACTTACAGGATGACGCCGCATCCCCAGAGGTCTGACGCCTGGGTGTACTGACCCTTCTGACCCTTGTAACACTCAGGAGCCTGCACACACACATACAGCCAGCCACAGACATCTTCCCCACTGTCTGCCCGTTGCTGCTGTCTTGCTTGTTTGCTTGTTGCTTACCATGTAGCCTCTGGTGCCGACTACAGAGATCTCTCCCTCCTTCTCGACGGTCTTGGGGGAGTCGGCTCGGTCGATAAACATACACATATCGAAGTCCAGGAGCACCACCTGACCTCCAGGCCGGTCCTTGAAGAGCACGTTGTCAAGCTTGATATCGCGATGCAGTAGCTGACAAACACACCGCAGGGAGAGATGGACAAGTGAGATGATTGGTGGGGGGAGGGAGGCATGTGCAGGTGGGCCACCCACCCATCCCTCCATTGCCCCACCCACTTACCCTATGCTCATGCAGGTGTCGGACAGCAGCGAGTAGGTTCCTCATGATGCGCTTGCAGTCCGCCTCAGGAATGTCACCCGGCTCGAACGATTCCGTGAAGTCCACCAGGTCGGGCCCCTTGCACTTCTCCATCACGATGTAGAAGTGCTCGGGGTCCTCGAGCACCTCACAGATCTTGACCAGGTTGGGGTGGCCGCAGCGAACTATGAAGTCGTAGATGTCGCGGAAGTACGACTCGTCCACAACCAACCTGGATGGACAGAATGAGAGATGCAATCAGAGACAGCGTGTGTGTCGTGTGTCCATGTGGGGGTGTGGGTGCTACGTACTTCAGGTCTGTCTTGTGGATGCGCTTGATGGCGCGCTGCTGGTTGGTCTGTCGGCACACGGCGTCAAACACCTCTCCAGTGCTGCACCAAACACCACACGAATGCGATCGATGCACACAACATGTTTCTCTGGCCCCATTGTGCTGTGTGGTCATTAGCTTACTGTCCGCTGCCGAGTTTCTCGTTGAACTTCATCTCGTACATGTCATTGATGTCGGCAACCGACTGGATCAGGGTCGGCTCCCTGCGATACGGCGTGTGCATGCTGCTGGCAGTGCTCGTCGGCGAATCACCTGCGCTTCCTGGCGAGGGGGAGGGCGGGGGAGGGGGGTAGCACGGCACTGGCGGCACACTGAACGGATGGGACATATTTGGGGGGATGGTGGGGGGGACGGCAAAGGGGTGGGCGAAGGACGGGGGCTCAGGTGACTGGACTGATGACTGCTGAGGTTGCTGGTGCTGTTGGTCAAGGGGAGCTTGGTCTGGGGGAGCCCTTAGAGTGCTGGTCTGCATGCCATTGCGTGCAGGTCCGTTGGGCGCGAAGAGTGCTCCCTGGGCTCCGCCTGCCGCTAAAGTGAGTGGAAAGGGAGACGGTGGGCTGCTGGACATGTTGGTGTTGTGAGAATTGTTGCGGCTCGGTCCTGAGCTGCTTCCTGTTCCAGTCGATGTTCCTCCACTATCATGAGGGACGGCTGGCTGACTTGGGCCGCCCTGACGCGACGACGGGGCGGATGTAGCCATTGCAGCCGCAACCCAACAGACTGAGAAGGCCCCCAAGCCGAACTCGGTTTTACGGGGACACGTTGCATGTGACGCCCCTGGAGGGAGCTAACCGGCCGGCGATCTGAGTCGTTTCTCGTCTGCTGCGATCTGCTCCTCGGTCAGATAAGGTGAGTATGAAGACACCTTCTGACGCAGGAACAGACCGGTGCGCATTGCAAAGACGAAACCATTTCCCCCAGCCAGAATCATGTATTCATGCACATGCATCAGCCAGTAGGATGCGTGCATAGCCGCTGCGGAATATCTTATCCGCGCGTTTTTGCCTTTCTCTTCTCCTCTCAGATCAGGTCAATTGGATTAGGTGAGTATGAAGACACCGTCTGACGGATGTGCCCCAGCCAGAATATGCATACGAGTGCAGACATCTGTTCGTCCCATTCATCCACCCATCCACCCATCCATCCTTCAGTCAGTCCTGCGGTCATCTTGGGCATAGCTCAGCTCCAGATACCGACACCTGCACAAGCACACCCGTAAGGCACATGGATGTAGCGCACGACAACTCATGAATAGCAGCCTCACTCACTCACTGACTGACCTTGCGTCTGATCCGACAGTCGACACAGCCAGCTGCGTGGGTGAGGCAGCCACATCCGCGCATCGGGCAGGCCTGCACGTACCCACACCAGACATGCAATGCAGCCACAGAGGTCCGTCCCGCATGCATGGTGTCTCCCTTCCGAGAAGTCTGCTCGGATGGTATGTATGCGCGGCTTACTGGTTGGCTGACGTGTAGACGTGCAGGGGTGCGAGCGCCTCGCCAGTGCCGGCATTGAACAGCAGCACGTCACGGACTGACGGATCTACAAACACACACACACATATGCATTCACAAAGATAGAAGGTTGTGTTGGTAGGTGCATTCATTACATCCACCGAACCAGCCACCGACCCACCTGTGCTGATGGATGCGACGTATCTCTCATCGTAGAGGAATATCGACTTGCGCCAGTAGCTCTCGCGCGACCCGCCGGCGAAGACGAACACCTCCTCGCCCTTGCGCATGTCCCACAAACGGGTGCGGCCGTCCTGAACACACACAGATGTGCACGCTCCTCGTTCATCTGTCTGTCTGTCTGTCTATGTGGTGGTGGTATTTGCCTACCCTTCCCGCGGACAGAAGGTATGTGAGGTTCCTGGACCACCGCACCGTCTCGACCGCCAGACTCCTGCAGCCAGCCATCCATCCAGCCAGCATAGCACGGGACACGTGACGGATGATGGGCCTTTCTTTACCCTGGTGCTCGCCTACTGCCGTACGGTACCTGTGCGCGTTAGGGAGCCTATTGATGCTTCGATTGCTCACGGCATCCCATATCTGGATTGAATAAGATGCAGGAAGATGATAACTCATCGATGCATGCGGCCGGTTTGTTGTCCATTTCTCACCTGTATGACGCCATCAGCCGACGCCGATGCGAACACACTGCCGTCAGAAGTGCACTGGAGGTCGTTGATGCTGCTCTGGACACACACACACACACACACATGAGACCCTATGCGCATACAAGAACGGGTGGGGTGCCATGCCATGCAGTCAGTCGTATGTGCCATTGTCTTGCCTTGTGGTGCTGGTCTTGCCGAAAGGCAATAAAGCACCCGAGCGTGTTGACGTCATACAACCTGCAAACAACGGGCATGGATGGATGGAAAGGTGGACGAGCGAGCAGCTCAGCACCTCACACACCTGATGATTGGATGAGCCGTGCCGACCAGCAGGAAGTCTCCACATGGATGCATCGCCATACAGCGAATGGGATACGCCTCCTGGATCTCGCCTGCATCAACACCGACAAACAGACACCACACCCTGCAGGCAGCGCAACGCAACGCAGCCCAAGAGGTGTACAGTGCTGCGTGTGCACCTGAAGATCTCTGTTTCCGGGCATTTTTGTTGGTTTCGAAGATCTTGACAGTGCGGTCACTGCTGCCCGTGTACAGGTAGGGCCTGAATGAATGCATTAATTAACGAATAATGAACCGCACACAAAACGTCAGCGTGGATGGGATGGCAGCTGAATGATGGATGGGATGTCTGATTGGATTGGCTCACTTTCGTGGGTGAAATGCCATCGATGTCGCCGGCTCGGTGTGGTCCTCGTACACGCGAGTCAAGACACTGATCGATACATACACGAGAGAAATGCGTGTGCGCGGTCGCGAATGACCAAAGCCCGGTCCCTTCCGCCCCACTTACCGCTCTGAGTGGTGTCGTTCGTGTCGTGGGCTGGCTTCCCGTGTGGCCCTGAGCTTCGACAGGAACATAACGCGCACGGTGCAGTCAGAGCCGCTGCTGGCCACGAACTGGCCGTCGTTACTCACAACAACTGACACGCCGCTCTGACCACACCCACACACACACACGGTGGCCGTGTAGCTTTCTGTGTCTGCGGTTGCGTTGCGTGTCTATACCCGTTCGCCCGTCTGTTGGTGTGCATGGTGGAGGCAGTCTGTCTTGACGCGGCTCGACAGAACACGCAGCGACTCCCTGGATGCACACGGCAGGCAGGCAGGCGTGTGTTGCATGATCTCTCCCCCTGCGCATGCACCATGTCCGGCCATCCTCTCACTTGCATTCCATGGCGGCCTCGACGGTGGTATCGGTGGACTGGAGAGGTGCACCGGGCGTGTGCAGCGGCTGTGCCCTAGTCGGCACAGGCACCCACCGACGCTCACCCGCATCGTCAGTGGCAGCCGACGCGCCATTACCTGACCAAGAAACGAGGCGCGAAAGACTGAAGGGTGAGCGGTTTGTGTGTGGGAATCGCATACCATACCGTATGCGTGTGCGAAGAGTTTGTCCTCGTAGAGCTGGAAGAGGTGGTCATCAGGCACACTGCTGTTGGCAGAGATGTGGGTCCGGCTGCTCAACGCGGCCGCCACATCAGCGAACCTCCAAACAGACAGACACAAGCCACCACACATGAAGATCAAGTAATGCCCGGATCTGTGTCGCATCTGGCGCCTGCCTACGTATCTACCCGTCATCCTGCAGCTGCCTCAGCACGAGCTCGTAGAGGCCTATCTTTGCTGCCGGCATGGCATCCTCATCTCGAGATCCATTCATCTCCTCGCCGTCCCCCTTCCCCTCCTCTCGCGGACCGTCCATCTCCACATCCATCATAGACACAGGCAGGACTGGTGGTTGGTTGGTTATTGTGTTTAACGAGACTCGTGTCTGTAACCCCGAGGGGATCCTGTCCAGGTCACGCACTAAACTAGCAGCATGCACATGCATAGAAGCATGCACACGGCC